TAGCAACAAATTAACTAAGAAGTGCTTTATCTATAGTAAGCCTAGTTATTAGTTAACTAAGCACACTAAAGAAGAGCAGTAATCTTTGTTTAACTAGTATAAAAGCACCTACTTTACATAAGCCTTACTAGCTACCTTTAACTACTTTCTTTTTAACTACAAAGGTTATAATATAAGTTATCTCTAAGAAGTAAATAATAGTAATAAACAACCTATTAGTAATAATAATAACTATATAGATATAGTGTTCTTTATATCTACTACCTTCTTTATATAACTGTTAATTAATAGCCTAACTGTGTTTTCTAAGTTATATAACTAGGTAACTACCTATGTACTTACTTATAAGAACTTACTAGAGGAGCCACTGCCTAGTAAGACTATAAAAACTAATAAGATATTTACACTTAATAAGCGCTATTTAGTAGTAACTTTTTATAGCATTATGCCTAACACTAGTATAGCTAAGAAATTAACTACTAGCTATAAGTAATACTTTACCCTTTAGTGCTACTTAGGCAAAAAGATACCTATAGATACTACCTAAGTAGGTAAAGTAAGTATTTACTTTAATAGCAGTAATTACTTTAAATCCCTAGGGGTAATTAATATACCTATGCTACTTAGTAACCTTGTTTTTTATATAATAACTACTAATACTCTATTTCTCTTTTACTTAAAGGATATAGACTATTATAGTGTAAAATTTAATAACCTTACTAACTAGCTAATCTAAGGTAATAACGTTATACTTATTATTTACTAATTTAGCTACCTATAGATACTTCTATAACTACTAGAGAAGAGTATTACTAGGTAACACCTAATAGATAGTAAATTACGCTAAATCTACTAGTAATTTAGCTACTTATCTATTTAATAACTTTATAAGCTACTTAAATAGGCTAAAGAAAACACCTTCTTCCTGTTAATTAAAGCTATTAACAAGTACTACTACTACTACTAATTACACTCTAAAGCCCTAGTTACTTTAAATTTATACTATATAATAATAACAAGTTTAACTATAAGATCCTTGTTAATATAATATATTTTAATAGTAATAAACTAGTACTTTATATAGTTAATATAGCAACAGTGTTTAACGTAGTAAGATTCTTATAATCTATTACTATAGAGTATATATAAGAGGCACTATAGATATACTAGATTAATATATATCTTAGCCTACCTAATTAGATAATAACTAACACTAGCCTAAATTTTTACTTTAGTAAGTTTAAATATACTGCCTATAGGTTATTTATTAAAGTAAAGGAAGTGTCTATTAAAGCCTATTATAGTATTAGTAAAGTTAAGTACTATTATATACCCCTTTACTATACCTATAAGATTATTTATAAAGAAACTAGCGCTAAACCTAAAGTTGCCCTTTAACTTACTATTAAAGTAATTAATAATACTACTAGCCTAGATAGCCTTGTCCTAACTCTCCTTGTTTTTAGTGTATACCCTAAATAACTAATAAGTTACTACCTACTATAACTACTGTATAGTGTACTAAAGTAATTAAAAAGTAATAGCTATAGTACACTAAATCTACGTAAAGTAATAGCTTTATAAAGTACTAGCTATATATAATAGCCTAGATTTAACTAATACTATTACTTTACCTCTTTAATCCTTTATCTATGTATAGTGTAAGAAATATAGCTAGTAAGGCCTATTTTACTTTATTACTAATAATAGTACTACTTACACTATTAATTTACCCTATAGCCTATATAATTTTAGGATTACTATAGTAAAACCCTACTATATAGAGGAAGGCTAACTAGACCTCCCTACACTAGATAAACCTACTAGCTACTCTGCGTAAGCAAAAGATAATCCTATATACACTATATAAGCGCAAGAAGACCCTATAGAGATACCTAACGCTAAAAGGGAAGTGTATAATACTATTATTATTAATAATAAACTACTATAATAACGCTATAGTTACCTATAAAAGAACCTAATACCTATGTTCTTTATAGAGATATACCTTACTATAACTATAGTGTTCTTAACTATAAAAGAGGAGGTAGACTATACACTTACTGTTAAGCTATATAAAAAAGGGATTATTACTATACCTAGTAAACCCTTTAAAGAATCTAATAAGGCAAAGGTAAAAGCCCTTGTTAACTATAGTGTATTTTATATTATTATCTATAATAAGAAATCCTATAGTAACACCTATGTGTTTAAATTATATATAGTCTATAAAGTAAAAGATAAAAACAAGTAGCCTTATAAGAAATTATAGCTTATTATCTAAGGCTATATAGATAATAATAAAGAAATAATTCTTATATAGTTACCTACTATCTAGTAAATAGCCTAGTAATTAATCTTTACCTTAGCCCCTTTACTACTTTAATATAGATTTCTCCTCTAGTTATATAATATTACCTAGGTATATACCTAATTAGTAACACTATTAAATTATATTATTCTTACTTACTTACCTATATAAATTTACTATTTTTACTTAGTAAATATAATAATAATAGTAACTAAGCTATTATATAGTATTATAGAGGTAGAAACCTACTAGTAGGTAACTTATAACTACTATTATAGAGAAAATCTCTAGATAGATTTATTAACCTTTAACCTTTACCTATTAATATTATTACCTAATAATAGTAACTTTAGATTAATTAGTATATAAATAGATAATATAATTAGCCTTATAGATAGTAAATTCTCTACTTATAAAGAGAAGGAGCTTAAGAAGGCTACTTTTATAGTAAAACCTAAGTAGTTACTTATAGCTAATAACTTTATTACCTTTAACAGCAGTATATTATTTATTACTACTAACAGTAAGCTTACCCTTTATTAAAAAGGCTAAGGTAAAAAGCTTTAACTTATTAATAAGAAATTACCTACTGCCTAGTAAGATTATGTCTAGTAATATATCTATAGTGCGTATATTACTTTTATCTACTAACCTAAAGCCTACTTTAACTATTTAGTTACTACCTAACACTAATTACCTATAGTAAAAGAGATTAAAGCTTTAAACTACTAAATTAAATAGTAAATTAATAACCTTAACTATAGCCTATAATTCTTACTAATTAACCTTATAACTACTAAGCTCTTTATATTTATTAATAGCTTATTTATAAATAACTATAACTTTACCTCTTAACTTAGCTTTATTATAGTCCTTACTAATAAATAAATTATTAAGTAACCTACTACTAATAGTAAAAGCTTTAAATTAACTAGTAATATTATCTACTTTAGCTTAATAAAGTATAAAAGAGTTATATATAGTGTGTTTACCTCTAAGGTCTATAGGATAGTTACTAGCGCTAACGTTGCCTATATAATTAGTACTACTCTTATAATAATTACTAACTGCCTTAAGCTACTATAAATACCTATAATACTTTATACTAACTTATACTTACTTTATAAGTGCCTTATAAAGCTTAGTACTATAAAGGAGAAGTAACTTATAATAGATATTATAGCCCTTTGCTAGTTATATAAACGCTATAAGATTTTTAAGATACAGTGGATTTATAGCAGTAATAACCTAGTAAATAGATTTATAAAGTTATTACTAAATAATACGTTAAAGAAGCTAGTTAGTAATAAGTAGTTAAAGATATAGATAAATAAATAGGTTTCTTATATATAATAGACTATATAAGCAAAAAGTATTAAACACTTTTTAGCTTCTTGTTTTTTTTATTGTGTTTTTTAGCTATTCTTTTAGATATAAATAATAGGGGATTTCTAGCACTATAGAAAGTTACTAGTGTTATAATGTTGACTATTGCGGATAAATATTGGAGTTATTAGGTTAACCCTAATGACTTATCACCAGCGAATCCTCAGATATTTGGCTATAGATTCTCTAAGGATTCGTGGATAATAAGTTAGTTATTCAACTAACTAACCTATAATAATTATCCTTCTTTTCTTTACGCATAATAGAGAACCACAGTTACCCCTATTATTTGTTAATTGCCACTGATACGTACGGTTAACCGTATTAACCTATCCCTTGGTGTTACCAACAGTTAGATGTTAGATTCAGGATCATAGAAACTTGGCAATATGGACCTCCCTTGGTTCCTTGGTGCCAATGCAGCTATTGTGCCGCAATGTCTCACCGCGCAACCACCCTAAAGCCACCATGTAAACGGCACCCGATGAGCATTCCTCCCGACATATCAGTGCGTTCGGCTGAAAAAAAAAACAGCTCTCACGAGCTTGGCGGTGATTGGTCTCTCGCTGCTCTGTCAAGGGGCAGGCCGGACCAAGAGGTAACATGGAGAGACAGAGAGCAAACAACAGGGTAACGCAGAACCCCAGACGCACTAATACCCGGCCGGCGTAATTACGGGTGCCCGCGTGCAGCCGGTGGAAAAAAGACCACGGTTCCTGCTTGAAACCGGCATCGGTGCCACCACAAGGAGAGGAGAGGGCCGGTCCCTGATGTCGAAAACGGCGCTGACATCATGGGATAGGTTCCGGAGAGATATGCATTTTCGAAAGAAGATGGATGTGGTTCAGGAGCTAAGGCGGTTTATCAAATCGCCAAGCCCGTGTCAAGTTGTCTCAACCTTTTGATAGAATATCAGCTCAAGGGGGGGAGGGGACAACGTCCATCAGTTTCTGAGGGGTTGATGAGAGGAGATGTTCCTGCACGGGACCGGTTGCAAGCTCGCGACACCCAGCCTTGGCAACATGTCTCCCCGGCACACATTCCAGTATAAAACACCGACCCATGCCATCATAATAAGGGTGCAAGGGATAGATACTTATCCACGCCCCCCCTTCGGCTCCCTCTCCCTCTGTGATTTTACCCAGCCATCGTGCTTTTTTCGACAACGCAGGCTTGAACCGTTACGTTTCTCAAACGTTTTTTCCTTCGTCACGCTTCAGGAAGAAAATCGGTGGGATAATCAACGGAACAGACGGCATTCGACACTCGTTTGCGGAGGGAGGATGCGGGAGGACGAAACATCATGAGCGCGCCGAACCCCTTCATCGCGAACGGAACCTGCTTTCACGGGCCCGGCGAGGCGGTGGACGAGTGGCTTCCCTGCGGCAACGTCGTCTTTGGCGACAAGTCCTGCTGCCAGGCCGGCGACATGTGCCTGTCGAGCCGCGCTTGTTACAACGGCCGCTTCGGAATCACTTACCTCGCCGGCTGCAGCGACCCCGAGTATCGCCACCCGAGCTGCCCGGACAAGGGCGCATTAAGTGGTACGTTTTCATCGTGATGGGGGGGGGGGGGGGGGGGGGGCAGAGAAGAGGCGAAAAGGGAGAGACCTTTCCCGAGATGTGGGATGAGCTGACGAGACAAAACCCCCCGACGGCTTAGACCAACCGTGGGCCGGCCTGGTGTACTGCAACGGCACGTCGGAAGAATGGGTTGCGTGCGAGCAGTCGGCGCGGCCGACGACGCTCACGTCGGCCGACGCGTGCTGGTGCCCGCAGACGTCCCGCACCGTGGCCTTCGCCGACGCGGCGACGCTCCGCAACGTCGTCCAGCTGCCGACGGCGCTGGGCGGCAGCGTCATATGGCAGCCCGGCTTCGTCCCGATGCCTACGCAGCCAAGAGAAGAGGCCACGCCGGCGGCTACTCCGACGAGCGGCCCGACGACGACGACGACGACGACGACGTTTGCGACGATTGCGACGATTGCAACGACGACGGCAGCCGGATCGAGTTTACTGCCGCAAGCGACAGGCACCGGGACGAGTCCGGACGGCGCAAACACCGGGCTGACCACGGGCGGCACGGTCGGCGTTGCCGTCGGCGCCGTCTGCGGATCCTTATTCTTGATCGGCGTCATCATATACCTGTGCCATGAGTGGCGCAGGTCTCGGAATGGACCGCCGGCGGAGCGGGACCACGCGGAGATTAACGGGGCGGGCCCCGGCCTCGTGGGGTGGAAGCCGGGCTTGCGCAAGTCCAGCGCGAGGACGGAGCAGACGGCCGAGCTGGAGTCGCCCGGCGCGGCGCGGCCCATGTCGGAGCTGGACAACACGCAGGTCGTACGGCACGGGTTCCACCACGACGGGTTCCAGGCGACGGGGACGAGACCGATGGGTCCCATTGCCGAATTGCCCGGATGATATGTTGTTGTTGTTGAAAACGGGGGATGGAGGAGGGCTGGGTTTCCAGGAAAAGTTTGGAGCACATAAACTAGATGATGTTGAAGTCTCGATCTACTGTAGACGGACACGAAAGACCGATGGATATAATTGATGATGAGATGGGGCTAACGCACGAGTTCGCACTACTGTATAAAGTGAAAAAACCGCCACAGACATTGTCAGATCGATCTCGCAAGTTCATAGGGCCAGTGACGCGAGCCTAGCAGACGTTGCCATTCGGCTTCACATCTGAGGCCCCGGGATGCTAGAAAGCAGGTTACGCCGGAAGCCGTCCTGGCCTATCGCGTAGAATAAACTGGCCAATATCACACCAGTCTCATGAAGAAAGTTGACCTAGAAAAGAACACCGTAACCCGAATATCCGAGCCTCGGCACGGATCCTAAGATATGCCTTCCTCTTCACGCTATTTGGTCTTCTTCTCCGCTTCAACCTCCTTCTTCTCGCCGAGGTTCTTCAGCGCCCCGACATCCCGTTCCCAAACGACGGCCAAGGCGGCGCCGCAGGGCCCGACGACGGGGCTCCACATGACCAGCTTCCCGAGGTCCGACACGGCGCCCCTCGCGCCCTTGCGCCGGTAGGCCATGTACACGACCCAGGTCCAGGTCGCCAGGGACGCGCAGTACATGTCCCACTGCAGCATGCCCAGGACCCCCTTCTCGAGCGACGCCATCTTGGCCCTGGACAAGGGCGACGGCGGCACGAACATCTGCTTCAGCAACGCGGCGGTGGGCTCCGGGGCCCCGCCCGAGGCCCGGAAGGCGTAGCCGAGCGCGCCGCACGAGATCAGGGCGACGACGGGCAGGACGCGGGCGTAGACCCTGCCCAGCTCCCTGCTCGTGAGGCTCCACGCCGCCGCAGGGGTCCCGGCCCGGGGCACCGCGCGCAGGAAGGCGACGGCCCGGGAGAAGGCGAGCTGCGCGATGCCGGTCCACAGCGGGAAGGCCTGCCAGGCGGCGAGGAAGATCTCGGACGTGCGCGGGGCGATGACGCGGGGGGGCGGCAGGGCGGCCAGCAGCGTCGGCAGGCCGGCGCCGAGGGTCACGGACCAGAGCACGGCGCGGGACTGGACCGGGTCGACGGAGATGGCGGCCGCGAAAGCTTCCGGGCTGACGGCGTGCGGAATGGCGGACGTGTAGGTGTGGAGGAGGAAGTATATGGGCAATGTGATGCCGATGGTGCAGAGCTGCCACACGAAGCCCCAGTAGGTCGTGCTGCGGGGCATGTTCAGTATTGTCAATGGCGGCAGGGATTCGTAACAGAAAATAAAAAAGAATAAGATAAAATAAAATAAAAACTTACTATGAGATCAGCCTCCCCCGGTTACCGGCCCTCAAGCCTTCCAGCTGGACGATGACTTGCAGCGCCAGCATCTGGCCGACCATGAAGACGCAGAAGAGGGTGAGAGCAGGGTCCTTGCCGGTAATGATGGGCTGGAAGAAGCGCACGAGCATGGTCAACATGCTGTCCATGGCCTTGGAGGAGGTGAAGGGGATGGGCTTCCCGTGGAGCTGCTTCTTAACGATGCTGGAGAGGCCATTGGCGATGGAGCGGTCATTGATGGCGACCTTTGCGAGATAGAAAACGGAGGCGAAGACGGTCGTGAACACGGCTTGAGACATTTTTGCTTTCGAGCATATGGGGGGGGGGGGAGGAGATGATGCTATCGAGATTGAGTGTTTGAGGAGAGCGGAGAGGTGAGTCGAGGTGTGCGATGGTCTGATCGGAACAATGTATCCTCCCGGCTTTTCTTGTCGCATACACAACTAGGATAAAGTGGGGGGACCCCCCCGGTTGGAAAGATGTTTCAAACCGTCGATCAGCTGTTACGACCACCTTCGTCTGATGATGTGTCCGCAAACAAGCTCGGGGTAACGAGTGAGTGAGTGAGTGTAGCCGTTGGTGGGTGGAGAGAGAGAGAGAGGAGGGGAGGGAGGGACCGAGAGAAACATCCACTTCGGTCTTCTTTACTACGCAAACTCTATCCTCCGAATGGGACTTTCCGCTGGCTACGAAGCTGGGATGAAACTGTTTGTTTGTACGGTGTGTGATATCTGATGGGTTATGGACGTTGAAACTATAAACATTGAAGCCTTTTTGGGGGTATCCCCCCACCAGAACCCTCCTCCCAACGAATCTTTTTTTTAATATTATTAATGTAAAACCAAGGATTAATGGCAGTGCACATGGGAGTGCGTCTTTCACCTGGCGGCCGTTTCTATGCGCCCGATAATCTCGGATACGCGGCGATGCGGGTTATGATGTAGTACAGAGGCGCCGTCTTTGACAGTCAGCGGCTGGCCTTGCTCTCGGGCAGCGGCTGGGGCGCCTCGAGCCAGCCGCGCGACGCGGCGTCCTTGATGCTGGCGAACCAGATGTTGGCCATCTTGACGTAGCCCGCGTCGTTCGGGTGGGTGCCGTCGACGAGGTCGCTCGCCTGGGGGCCGGCGGCGGTGTGCATGTCGGCGAGCACCAGCTTCTTGGACAGCGCCTGCTGCTGCTCGACGAGCGCCCTGTACTGGTCGTTGACGCGCAGGACGCACGCCTCGGTGGCGTTGTTGCCGTTGACGAGGAGCGTCGAGAGCACGACGGTCGCCCGCGTCGAGGTGGCCCAGAGGTAGTCGAGCATCTCGAGCATGCGGGCGCCGGCGTTGTCGGTGTCGTAGTTCTGCGCGCAGTCGTTGGTGCCGGCGTTGACGAGGACGAGGTTCGGCAGCGTCAAGGGCACCGAGATCTCGGCCTTCTCCAGGACCTCGTCGATGCGGAAGCCCGGCCAGCCCTCGTTCGCGTTGTTCGCCATGGTGCCGTTGGGGTGGGAGCCGACCATCTCGACGGGGTTCCCGTCGGCGATGAGCAGGTTGCGCAGGGCCTCCCGGTAGCCGTTGCCGTCCGTGGACCTCAGGCCGTACGTGATGGAGGCGCCGAGGGGCATGATGCGGAGGGAGACGTTGCCGCCGACGAGGATGTTGAAGTCGACCCTCCGGTGCACGGCCGGGGGTTGCCAGGTGGGGACGGCGCACACTTCTTGCGGGTTAGCAAGCCGTCGTCGTCATCGTCGTCTTCGGGGGAGCATGGGAGGTGTCGGAGGCGGAAGAGATCATACCGGCAGTGGCCGAGGCCAAGAGCGTGGCGGCCCAGCGGAGGAGGGCACCGTTGGAATGCATAACGGAGTTGGTAGAGAGATCGGTACGGGGCTTCGACAGAGAGGAACGGCACAGGATGGAGCTTCACGATGAGACACCTGGGCAATGGAGCGGGCATATTAAATAGGCACAAGGCCCGGGAGGACGAACAATATGCACATCGCTGGGGAACGGGATCGCCTGGCGTCAGGGACGCCCCTTGCTTGCACTGCACTCTTGCTTGCACTCGGCTCACTCTATTTCAGGGAAGGCCCCTTCAGATGGATCCGATGGGGCTCATTGGGATGGATGATTGGGATTCACATCAAGCATGACACCAAGCTACGCAAGCAAGGACGCGGGGTGGTCAGACAGGGGTGACAAGGCTAGTCGGCGTACGTACGCTATGGATGACACGGCACTTGATCATCTACCCTCTTAGTGTAAGGTCGCACATAGACACAACGATGTGGCAGGCCAAGGGCCGCGGGATGTGGGAGCCGGGACTTGGGCAGATGTTCCAAGGGCAGAATTCACATCTCTCCACGCCGCTCCCCGCATGACTAGAACAGCAGCTGTGGGTTCATGGCTACGCACCCGGGTTCCAAAAGAATGGCCGGTCTCCTATACCACCTACCTATCTACCTTTTACTTTATGGATGTGGTTGGGACCGGCCATTCTTTTGGAACCCGAGTGCTGCGTAGGTAGTAGCCCTCTAGGAGCTGAACACAACACAGCTGGCAGTAGAAGCAAGCAATGTTGTAATATCCCCGGGTATAACCAAAGGGTGGAAGAGCGGAGTATGCCCCGGTTGACGCAGGAAAAGAGACTTTGTGTCCCGCATTAGCCACCTGCCAACGGTTTCAGCATCTCCCCCATTGTGTGTCTGTCTACCACCTCGCTTGTTTCTCCCGAGTCACGGCCGTACTCCGGCTCTTGTTGAACACGGCCGCCAGTGAGTTTCCCACTCGGAACCACTGTGATCCTGGAGGATGACTAGCACTAGAGGGATGTGTCTGAGGCGGGACATAGACCATGAGGCCAACGGATTGGGAACCCTGTGAGTGAGATTTTGGTTCGTGGAGGAATCCGGCAAAACTTGTTGGCCTACAAGACAGACAGACAGACAGACAGACAGACAGAGACAGAAGAAGAAGAATCCTCGTGCTGTTTTTGGCGTCATCCCGTCGGGCTTCCCGTAAGAAACTTCCCATCCCTGCCAGTACTGACTGTCAGACGCTCAGGAGTCCTTTTTCTCCGAACCCTTGGTCCCAGCAATAATTTCCCGACGGGCTTCTCGGTTTCATCTTTAGCAGACACAGCCGCGGTTCTCCAGCCTCCTCCGGCCCCCCGTCATCAGTTCCTACTGACTCACGCTGACTCCACTGGCCGCTATACTGTGTATGTATGTAGCACAGTCCGTCCCGCCGTGTTGAGGGATTCGGGCTGCTCTTGTTTTTCGGGACTCCTGCGTCAGCATCTGTGCGTAGTATCTGTTCCTGCTCTGTTCCTGCATCTCTCTGTCTCTCTCCCTCTCTCACGCCGTTGCGGCTGTTGGGATCCCCGTACCCGAGGCCCGTCGCTGGACGGAAAGGATTCCCCCCCCTCCCCCAAAGCGGATGTTGTTTGCTCGGTCCATAATCGTACTACCGTACGCACTCGTGAGATTCGTCGACCACTAGTGAGTCGGCTAACGGCAATAGGTATCGTGGCCGCTGTAAGAGGTGTAGTGTGCTAGCAGAAACAGGGATCTAGATGTAGCAAAAGCAGGGGTTAGTTATGTACATTAGCAGCAAGTTAGGTAGCAAAGGCTAGTAAAAAACCTTATAATTAGCATTAGATTTCCTCTCTCTCTCCTACTCTAGATCTCCTATAGCCTTATTAAACTATCTCTAATAAGTTAACTATCTCTAATAGGTTACTAGACATCTTTAAGTAAAGATATATACTCTTAGCTATTATTATTTATATTAACGTTAAGTATCTCTTCTTATATTATTTTCTTTTTTATATAGGTATTATAGTTAAAGTTATCTTAATTATTTTATAATATCTTCTTATTTAGTATATCCTTAATCTAAATCTTATTAATATTACTTTTATCTAGGTTACTACTAATCTTATACTAAAGAAAGAATTACTAGACTATTTTACTTCTTTTAGCTAGGTAATAGGTAGCTATTATAATAGTATAAGTAACTATTATATATTTTATTAATATAGACTACTTAATAAGCTAGCTAAGCTAGCTAGGCTAGCTAGGTTAAATAAGTTAAATAGGTTAAAGTAGCTAAATAGGCTAGCTAGGCTAGTAAGTAGTAGCTTACTTTATTTACTATATATACTTATTAGTTACCTTAGATAACTACTATTTAAAGGGCTTATTAATAGTAGTATTTAGAAGTTAAAGAAAAAAGGTTATACCTAGTAGTATAAGGCTAAGTGTTATATAGTTAAATTAAAGTTATAATAGTATTATAGGTGTCTTATAAAAAGTAATAATATTTATAACTAATAAGTATTTTTACTTTATTATAAAAAAAAAATTTATTTATTAGCTACTACCTAAGGAAATACTTATTATTATAAGCTATATTATTATATTTAACTATTACTTTTTTACTATATAAGTTACCCTTATATACCTTAAGTTAACTACTAAGGCTAGTAGGCTTACTATAAAAGATAAGCTTTAGTAGTAGCTATTAGACCTTATTAGTAAAGATATAGAGAATAAGAGTAGCTTACTACTTACTTTAGCTACTATAGTTAGTCTTATTAGCTATAGTATAGGCCTCTTAGGCTACCTAAGTTAAGCTATTAAGGTACTTAAAAAGGATAAAGGTCTTATTAAAGTTAATAATATAGTTAAGTAGAAATTAAAGCCTATTAATAGGCTAGTAGGTAAGTAAAAGCTAACTAACCTATTAGTTAAAGTAAAAGAAGTTAGTAATAATAGTAAGGTATTTAGTAGGTAGCTTTAAGGCTTACTTTATAATCTAGTAGTATAAAATATTCTATTATATATAAAAGCTACTAAACTAACCTATAAAGAATTAGAAGAGGTAAGTAAGTAAGTTATTAGCTATAAGGATATTAGGATAGTTAGCTATAAAAAAGGCCTATATTACACTATAGAATACTTATTCTATAGAGGATTTACCTTATAATATATAGGCTATTAACTAGCTATTAGCTAGCTAATGCCCTAGGAATATTAGGAACATTAGCAGAGTAATTCTCTAGGAATTCTCTAGGAATTCTCTAGGAATTCTCTAGGAATTCTCTAGGAATTCTCTAGGAATTCTCTAGGAATTCTCTAGGAATTCTTAGAGAATTATTTAGCTGTTTATACCTAAAAATTACTACTATTTATAGATAAATCTTTTACTTATTTAGAAAAAGGAGAAGTATTAAATTTATTATTGTAATGTTAACTATTATAGATAAATATTAGAGTTATTAGGTTAACCTTAATAACTTATTACTAGTAAATCCTTAGATATTTAGCTATAGATTCTCTAAGGATTTATAGGTAATAAGTTAGTTATTTAACTAACTAACCTATAATAATTATTCTTCTTTTCTTTATATATAATAGAGAAC